AAAGATACGTATGCTTCGGCTCGGGTCAACGCTATTGGTACCCGCCTCTCTGCCTCCGGGTCGAAGCCTCGGCGCCGGGGGTACGGACACTGAGCCGTTCGGTCTCTGCGTCAGAAACTGCCGAGTCTTTGGGTTCGGAGGCCGAATCGCTTCCTCGGTCAAGCGCTGTTTCTTGATCGGACCGAGATCTCTGGATCTATCAAACGATCTACGTGAATTCTCCATTTCAATAACCATACAAAGGAACAAGAAAACTCAACGAAAGGGCCCTAAAATCCAACCCTAATTCTCGCAGGATCAATTGCTACAACAATTAAAACCCTCATTACATCCAAAGAAGCGGGGAAAAAAACTCGTTACAAGGAACAAAACCGCTGAAAACAATACAGCAAACAACTAGAGCTACAAATTTTTCATAAACCCTAAGTATAAGACGAAATTGGGAGTTTAACAGTGAATCTCGACGATATTATATGACAGAGGAGCCGGAAAGCTCCGAATCGGCGTCACCGGCAGAGAAAATCGATTGATTTAGGGTTGGAATTGGGATTTTAATGGCAGAAATTGGGGGAAAGGAAGACGAGGGGAAAAAAGAAAGCAAGCATAGAATAAGCTGTTACAAGAAAAGTTTAGGCCCAATGGGCCAATAATAAATGTTTCGAACCCATAAAAAGCCCACCCATTCATATTAATAAAAAGTTTAAATTTGAATGAAATTCAAAACCAAGCCTAATCCTAAAAAAACTTAAAAGAAAAATCAAACCGAAATGTTAAATATTCACCCACCCCTACATTTAAATTGAAATTTGTTAGTTTTATATAGGATTGGACACAACGGATAGACATTCAAAAATCGAACCAAATTAAATAATAATATTTTATTTCAGTTCGGTTTATAGTATACCAACCGGTCGAGTATGAACTTGTATAAACGGTCGGGTTTGGTTGGGTTGCTAACAAATAAATTGGTTAATTGATATTTTAGTTAAATGTCATATAAAAAACACTCAATTTTACAAAAAAAAACATACATAAGACCAGGTATTAAAATTCAGAGGAAATAATATGAATTTACAATTAAATCTCATATTATACATGGATTTCAAAACAAATTCCAATTATCAATATATGTATTATTTTTATTTTAGTTTTTGTTAATATTTTAATCTGATGTTACATTTCGTTAATGGCAATTTAACGTTGCTTAGGGATTCGTTGTGATTTGTCCAGATTTTGATAGTGGATATATATTTTAAAATTTAATCTATATATAATTATGTATTATGTGATTTAATTCGATTATATATTTATATGTCTTAGTCTTAGAATTCATTCCCAGAAAATTTACAAGTTCATCAATCATCTCTACCGCTTGATGAAAACGATATCATGAAATTTAGGGGTGGCCATTTCGGGTTTCGATTCGGTTTTCGGTTCGATTATTTCGGGTTCGGTTATTTCGGTTATAAAAAAATCATACCCAAACGGTTATATAGATTTATTCGGTTCGGTTCGGTTTGGTTTCGGTTTCGGTTCGGTTTCGGTTTCGGTTCGGTTCGATCCGGTTTTTGCATAATAAAATTATAACCAAACGGTTAAATTTTTCGGTTTATTCGGTTCGGTTTTAAATCGGTTCGGTTCGGTTATGATATATTTTAAAAAAAATATTAATCATATACAAACTTCAAAATATTTATCCAAATAAATCTATAAAATAATTAATCCTCAAAAAAAGTTACAAAAAAATCTACAAAAACTTCGATAATTAGATTAAAAGTTAAAAATATTAAATTTTATGGTTTATTAGGTGAAACACATGAGGTACAAATGAACTACAAAAAAATAACACTAATAATAATAAGGGTAAAAATTAAAATATTATAAAAACTCGAATAACCGTTCGGTTAACCGCGATTATTCGGTTATTAACCGAACCGAACCGAACCCAAACAGTTATTCAACTTTCTCAACCGTTCGGTTATTAAGCAAATAACCGAACCGAACCGAACAGCTCTTATTCGATTCGGTTATTCAGTTAATAACCGAAATGGCCACCCCTAATGAAATTGCTCTATAAAACAAGTCTACTAATCTTCCACGAAGTAATATATTTTTGTAATTCTTTTTTTTTTTTTGCAAGTTCAATATATTATTTTTTGGGGACATTCTCATTATTGCTGATCCTTTCCATAAATTGCAATATATTTTATCAAGGGACGTCTCTGTATATAACTATATATATACAGTCAAAATAAAAACAAAACTAACAAAAATATTAATTGCGACCACAGTTTCAAGGGATTGGGGAATGAGAATCCATCATCATTGGCGGTCCAAAAAAAAATCCCTCAATAATTGCCACGTGGATTTTATCTATTTAAACTCCATTTAGCCAAAGAAAAAAAAGATACGTATGCTTCGTCATTCATTAACTACAATAGTGCAATATTTTATTCTCTGTGTGTAAAGATATAGAGAAATATTATATGAAATTCGAAACGATATACGACCGTATTAAATGTTATGGATTCTAACAATATATTTGGAAATATTTTTCCAAAAAATAAAATATTTTTATCAGATAAAGAAATAACAAAAAATGGTGACCAACAGCCAACAGGCGATAGTAATATATGTTATTCTCTTAACAAAAATGTATAATGTTTTTGTTTCTTTATTTTTTCTGTAAGATTGTGAAATTTTTATTGAAATTTTAAATATGAGAGAAACGAAATTTTTTATCATTTCGTTTAAATTAAATCTACATGGTTTTTTAAACAAAAGAAAACAATAGTAAACCCGATTAAATCGATCAATTCTGATGTTCCAATTAAAAAAAAATCAAAACAAAATTATAAAACCCGAATTAAATCGAAGATAGATATGCCAATAATGATGGTTTATAAAACTTCATTTAAATTCTCAATAAGAACCCAAAAATATATAATTTTTTATTTAATTAATTCCACCAAAATAAATGCGGAAAGAATGATTTTGATCATAAATGGTCGGTTCTACTGTTCCCCCCGTAGGCAGTGACGCATGGTTCCGAAGGAAAATAATATCGATACTCTTCCATCCAACTGAATTCATTTATTGTTACTATATATATATATATATATATATATATGTATATAATACAAGTAGATAACAAGTGATTAATGAGGCAGGTAGACGTTACAAAATTAATACAAATCGACTTAAATTCACATATCGGCTAATGAGCTTTGCATGCAAAGCAAATAAATAATAATAATATATTATATTATATTATATTTTCCCAAAAATAAATGTGCAGAATTTGAGAACACCCCATGTTGGACTGTACTCGGGTGGATATTTCCGTACTATTATTTGAAGTTGAATTATATCAAATCGAAAAATACGGTATCGTTTTCAAATCGAATTATCTAAAAAATTTTAACAATATTTTTTTTACAAAAATGAATTTATCTGAATCGAATCGAAATTTTAAAAAATCCGAAAAACTCTTAATAAAATCTAATTTTTTTAATAAAAACTGGAACCGAATTAAATCAGAAGCGAAACCGAAGTGAATCAATTATGATATAATAACCGATTGATACATATTTTTGTAGAATCGAAAAAACTGAACCGAACCATTTCCAAACCGAATACTGAAACCCCCACACCTAATTTGTATCACCCTTTGGAATCTGCGGACGACTTGTAAGCTTATCCTAACAAACTTCTGCATGTCCATCGACATCGTCTCCTGATTTTCTAATGTTTTCTATTCAACCATTTTTGTATCTTTCTCTATTTGAAACCCAAGTTGGCATCCGTTATCCAATTGAACCGGTGCCATAATAAATTTGTACATTGACTATTGACCATACAAAAATCCATTACCAAAGTTTTCACCTTATTATTATCATCTCAATATATTTTGCCCGATTTTTCTTAATTATCAGAAATCGGTTGCGTACAAATGGAGAGTATTTTGAACTAAAAGGCATATTTTAAAGGGGTTAATATTCCGAATATATCTTAGCTTCCACCAACAACTGAAATCGAAGGAACTGATCATTGTGCTCGACGATTTCTCCCCTCACTGAATCCATCAAGTCCCGGCAGGCCGCTCCTATGCCTTCTTGAGCTAGCCGACTGAGGATAGATATCAGATCATTGAGTCGCATGGGCGAACCAAAGGTTTTGGAAACTGGTATAGGTTGAAAATCTGCCATTCCAAATATGGTTATTGAGGCTGGAGCAAAGTAACATAGAGTTTATGTAGTGTGTGCATTCTATAGGAAAAATACCGAGTAGAGCGAATAAATGCACGGTATTGAACCATCTTTGCGGTAAGAACCTAACTTGGGTTATTCGATCGATGAAACAGGGATGCAAAGCGTCTGTCCCGCCCCGAGTTCTAGCTTCTGGATATGGGAAGAAGAACGTAATTCCAATCCGAGTGCACCTCAAGAATGTTCCATTTGGCCTCTTAACTACAGAAAGATTGAGCTATATCGCCGGAGCAATTTGAGAATCTTTGGCTTGATAAGATGATTTAAAAAATTGCATAACAAAAAGATTATTTAAAAAAATATGCACATTCATTAATTAATACAAAAGAAAATCCTCATAAAGCATGAGATGAGATAGTTTCCCCATCTCGTATGGCATATGGCATTTTGATGAGGGTTTGACTTTTAGATGAAGTTGACAACGTCTCTCTCACTCTCACACACACATATACAACACAAACACTGTATATATATATATATATTATGTGTGTTTGTATCTGCTCTATATATAGTGCGTGTGCCAGTGCCATGAGATTTGTGTACATCATTCAAAGTGCCAAGGAAACACAAACATTTCCACTTGCCCTCGTGCTCTCTCATTTAACCTCATCATCATCTCTCTCTCTAGAGGCGAAATAAGGATTCAAACTCCATAAAATTAGTCATGGGTTTCTTTCCTTTTTCTTCCTCTTTTCTTCATCCTCAACTTCATCATGTTGTTGCCAAGATGTCTTTCTTTGATTCTCTCTTGTTCTATGTGAGCACTATCTCTCTCTCTCTCTCGGGGATAATCACGTGTGCCCGTGAGCATATATATATATATATAGTTAGCAGTGACAATTCCTGACAAAGAACAAGATCTAACACTTTGTTCGTTCCTTGGATTTGATAAGCAACTCACATAAAGTCCCTGTTTTCTTTCTAGACATAAAACAGAGTATAACAAAGTTTTCTTTCTTCTTTATTCACACAGATTTCTGCAATCCTACTTGATTCCGAGAAATCAAGTAGATTTGTATGTGTATATATATATATATATATTGCAGTATTTTCGTATGAGTGTATGGTTTCAAAAGAAGGTTCCAACATATATACATATATATATATTGATGATTTTTGTTTTGTTTTGTTATGATAACAGATTGTACACTTTGTAGACAAGCTAGGGTTATGGCACAGGTTTCCTGTGTTCTTGGGACTGGCTTACTTGGGAATAAGAAGACACTTACATCAACGATACAATCTCTTACATGTCGGACAAACCAACGGTCAGAAATACGACACCGACGAGTTCTGTTATCGTACGGCCGACGGAAAATGCAATCATCCGGACAACGACACCGTCGGAAGCCACGGCACCCTCTTCGGCCGGAATATGCCTCCCTCCACTTCACAATTCGGTGTAAGTTCCCTTTCTAGGTCCTTATAATAAGAGTTTATTAAATGTTTTACGTATACATGTGTGTATGCATGCTGCTAAAGGAAATATTACGATGATCAATTCATCAAAAAGATTGTATTAAGCAATGTAAAAACAACCGAGAAAAATCATGTATACATACAAAATGATAAGGCATGAATACGATGTTTGAGGAGATTGTGTGTGTGGTCGCGTGATGACACAACGTTTGCTAAAATATCTTTGTTTCCATGTGGTCCATTGATTAATCTTATTTCAGTTGGTGAAATTTGCCCATAGAACCTAAATTCGAAAAGCATGTCAAATTGCATGATCCATTATTACATTTCATATAAAATCTTTTTAGATTCGCTCCGTTTCTAAATAAATGACGTTTTAGATTCAAACGCGTACATTAAAAAAAATGTTTTTTTTTTTACAAAATACCATAAAACTATAATCTTGAGATATTTAACTATTATTAATAAAGGGTAAATTTAGAAAATATAAAAAAGTGTATGAAAATCTGAAACGTCATTTATTTTGAAACAAAAAAAAAAATATTCTAAATATCGTTTTATGCTTTTGTCTTACGCCAAGATATTGGATCCACACCCAAGTGTGGTGGCCACCAAGCTATTGACGAGGAGAAAGTTCATAGACAATGGGAAACAATTCAACATGATCGCTTGCTCATGGATCCAATTCATGATCCACGATTGGGTTGATCACTTAGAAGACACCCATCAGGTACTCTTGTCTTTTTCTCTTCTCTATTTTAAAGTCAATGACCACACAATGTTGACTTTGGACTGACATTAAATATTGATGTTTAAATGAAATGAAAGCTTCCAATGTTGAATTTGGACTGACATTAAATATCGATGCAAAAGCAGATAGAACTTGAAGCCCCTAAAGAGGTTGCAAGTGGGTGTCCATTGAAGTCATTTAAGTTCTTCGGTACGAAGAAAGTCCCCACTGGTGATCCCAACGACAAATCCGGCTCCCTCAACACCAGAACTCCCTGGTGGTGTGTATCTATATAAACCCACACCTATATCTCATATACATACATGTATACATTCTTAACATGCATATATGTTTATATATATGACAATCTTAGTTTCTCATTTTAAAACCCTTATGTTATTGCAATCTCAATCTTTGGGTTTCTTGAATAGGGACGGGAGTGTAATTTATGGAAACAACGAGGCCGGAATGAGAAGAGTTCGGGTTTTCAGGGGCGGGAAGCTAAAACTAGCGGAAGATGGCCTCTTGGACCACGACGAGAGAGGGATTCCGATCTCGGGCGACGTTAGGAATAGCTGGGCGGGTTTCTCAGTCTTGCAATCTCTCTTCATCAGAGAACATAACGCAGTTTGTGATATGCTCAAAGTACTTTTCTTGCATCACAAGCAACCCCCATACAATTTGATTCTTTTTTTTTATGCCCATGAATTTTATTTTGGTACATTCAGGCCCCTGATACTTCATCAAATTTCAGGAGCGCCATCCAGAGTTTGACGATGAGAAGCTGTATCGAACAGCGAGGCTAGTCACGTCTGCTGTAATTGCAAAAGTTCACACAATTGACTGGACAGTCGAATTACTGAAGACGGACACACTTCTTGCGGGGATGAGGATCAATTGGTACGGTTTTCTCGGCAAGAAAGTGAAGGACTTGCTCGGGCCGAGGTTTGGTCCTGTACTCAGCGGTTTGTTGGTCTCAAGAAGCCAAAAGATCATGGAGTTCCATATTCGCTGACCGAAGAATTCGTCAGCGTATACCGAATGCATTCCCTTTTGCCAGACACATTTATCCTCCGAGATATCAGATCACATAGAATAGAAAAGGAGAATCCTCCAATAGAGCTAGAGTAAGTACATGTTAATCACTTCTCTGTATGGTGATGTTTTATACACCTTCTTGCTTCAATGAAGAGAACCTTTACTTATGAGGAACAATTTAGGGTTCCGATGACGGATTTGATCGGGAAGGAAGGAGGAAAAAGGCTATCGGATATCGGGTTTGAGCAGATGCTTGTATCCATGGGACACCAAACATGTGGAGCACTCACCTTGTGGAACTATCCTACTTGGATGAGGAACCTTGTGGCCCAAGACATTGATGGAGAAGACAGGCCTGACAATATCGATATGGCTGCCTTGGAGAGTAAGTCATAGTCATGTTTTCGCCTTTAATTTTGTTTAATGCTTAGGATCTGATGGGTTTTGATCGATCATTTTTCAGTATACAGAGATCGAGAGAGAGGAGTTCCGAGGTACAATGAGTTCAGGAGGAATTTGCTTATGAATCCGATATCGAAATGGGAGGACCTGACAGATGATGAGGAATCGGTCGACGCTTTGAGGGAAGTGTATGGTGATGACCTAGAAAAGCTCGATTTGCTGGTGGGTTTGCACGCCGAGAAGAAGATCAAAGGCTTCGCCATTAGCGAAACCGCTTTCTTCATCTTTCTCCTCATTGCATCAAGGTAAGCATGTTTAGTGAGCTCAGTCGGCATAGTCACACTTGTTTATCTCTCCAAGCAGCAAAACTGGTCTGAATTCTGACTGACATTGGTTTGATCAAGACATACCGCCGGTTTAGCGAACTAACACTTCGTACCGGTTTTGGAATCTGACCAAGAAAAACGGAGAAGCTTAGCTGAGCCAAGAATGCAACTAACGAAATCTATAGAATCCATACTTTTATCTTTGAATAATTTGCTATAAACTGACATTATGAATGATACGTTAAATTTTGTTTGCAGGAGACTAGAGGCAGATCGTTTTTTCACCACGAATTTCGACGAGAAGACGTACACAAAGGAAGGGCTGGAGTGGGTGAACAGTACGGAGACGTTAAAGGACGTAATAGATCGACACTTCCGAGGTCTGACGGACAAATGGATGAGATGCTCGAGCGCTTTCTCGGTCTGGGGCTCCGATCCCGACCAAACCCCTTGGCTTCCCTTGTACCTCCGACCGGCTCCTTAGAAGGACTCAACGGTTGCGTGTATTACAAGAAATGTGAAGGGTTACTTAAGTTCTGTTTTTTTTTTGTTTTGTTTTTGTTTCAGTAGTTAATTACTTCGGAAAGTAAAAGGAGGGTTTTGTTTCTGAAACTTATACAATCATGTAAATAAATAATTAAGTTTAATACACATATCTTAATTGATACATAAGAAAGAGCATAAGAGATTGTAAAAGAGCAATTTCAAACACGGTTGTAGATCAGAAACTAGAAGACCAACACTGAAAGAAAATGGTTAATATCGACCAAATGTTTTATTTGTATTTTTTGTTTGTTTGTGAAATTTCAAACAAAAGCAGGTTTGCCCGAGAGGTTAAGGGGGAAGACTTAAGATCTTCTGCACATAAGTGCGCGTGGGTTCGAACCCCACAGCCTGCATTTAAATTTATAATTTTTTTGTATTTTATTGACTCTGGTTATAAAAGTTAATTTTAGTTACTCAAATAAATTATAACTTCTTCCACCAAAAATCAACGTTGTACATATTTTACCATGATTTGCATAAATGTAAAGAAAACGACAAAAACTTTTGTGTTCGTTAATTCAACAAATTTCATTCCGGATCACTATTTTGGACATCATCTCATAATTAAAATAATTAACTAATATTTTTATGGACAACAACAATGAGAACGGATATTCCAAACATTGTTTTGAGTTCGGTTGTCTTTTGTTATTTTATTCGAATCTGTTAGAAATTGTTTTTTTTTTATTTCAAATAACTCATAATTATTTTATCGAGCCGATTATATATATATATATTATTTGGATGAATAGGATATTAAACGGATTGGATCGGCTCCTGTTAACTTGGCTAGCATCAACTCGCCATTTTTTTCGTTTGCTTAGAAAAAGTCAACATGTGCATAACTCGCAAAACAAACGGAGACGGGTGGCTTGATCAAACAAAATATGGTCAGTATAGTTTTCGTTCTGAAATAATATTTCGATAAAATATCATATTTTAAATCATACAGGATAATTAATTTATTTAAATTCGATACAATTTGTAAAACTAAAAAAAAATATCAAAACATACAGGATAATTCATTGTTCCATCACTTATGACCTCTCGTGGGGGCGAAACGGCAAAAGCCGAAATCCCGAAATATTTCGATATAATATGTTTTGTAAAACAGAAGAAAAGAGGTAGCTTCATGCCACGTTTGCACATTCTGTATGAAGAAATGTCACTGGGAAGACTCTGCCACGTCGGCAGAGTTAACATGCCACGTGGACTGTTCTCTTCCTTCAGTCGTTGGGCCGATGACATGGGGCCCATTTAGACACAACAAGCCCGTTAATATCTTCAACCTTCCATTTCCCTAGCGCTCATCCGAAACCTCACTACCTCTTCCTCTCACCACCCAACAATTTTCAAACAAACAAAAGAAAGTCATCTGAACGGTTACACTTCTCCATCCATGGCGGCTTCTCTCTCCGTCTCCAGGCTCCTCTCCTCTTCTCCCTCCGCCGTCTCCGTAGCCAAACCCTTCCTCTCTCCCGCCGCAGCCACACCGCTCTCCTTCACGCGCTCTCTCGCTCCCCTCTCCCTCAAACTCCGCCGCTGCAGCCGCAGTATCTCCGACACCGCCTCTGCCTCCGCCAGATCCTTCGCCACCGCCATCTCCGCCTCCATCTCTGTCGGCGATAAGCTCCCCGACGCGACTCTCTCATACCTCGACTCCACCGGCGACGTCAAGATCGTAACCGTCTCCTCCCTGACCGCCGGGAAGAAATCCATCCTCTTCGCCGTCCCGGGTGCCTTCACACCGACCTGTTCGCAGAAACATGTCCCAGGATTCGTATCGAAGTCTGGCGAGCTCAGATCCAAAGGCGTCGACGTCATCGCCTGCATCTCCGTGAACGATGCCTTCGTGATGGAGGCGTGGAGGAAGGATCTCGGGATCTCCGACGAGGTGATGCTTCTGTCCGATGGAAACGGCGAATTCACGAGGAAGATCGGATGCGAGCTGGATCTGAGGGACAAGCCGGTGGGGCTCGGGGTGAGGTCCCGGAGGTACGCGATCTTGGCGGAGGACGGAGTCGTGAAGGTTCTGAACCTGGAAGAAGGTGGTGCGTTCACCAACAGCAGCGCCGAAGATATGCTCAAGGTTCTCTGATTCCGGTATCTTCTTCTTCTTCTCCGTTTGAATCTTCCTGGGGGTTTTTTTCCATCTCTGTTTTCCTCATCTGTGGAGCTTCAGATCTAACGGCTGAGATTTCTATATTGCTGGATCTGTACGGATAAAATAATCGGAATTTTATGCTTCGGAATAATCTCTCTTAACCCTAAATCACAATTGGCGATATAATTAATCATGAATGATAATCATGCTTCTCTGTAATTAAGAAAATCAAAAGATCAAGATCAAGAATGCTAACCAAATTGTATAATTATTTTGGATGCAAAAAGGTGTTCGCCAATTGCTTGCCACGTCAGTGTAGAAGCAGGAGGAGAATATGACAAAACGTTTTTTTAAAAGAAAATCAAAAGATGTTTGTTGTAATTGCTTTATTGCGCGTGGGTTTTTCCTCCACAGTTTGGCTCTAACACCTGATCGTATAGTTCGTGTTGAATATGCTTTTGCAACTATATATTATTCTGACTACATTTCATGATACGCCTAACTAGAAAATATTCAATTTTTTCTTTTCCATGGACGAGATTTTCAAAAACCAGATATTCGTACCATGAATTAAGAGAGTGAATTCGGATTTAGTCGCGGACGGATAATACGTTGGTATTCTTCCATTTCCCATTCGCCCTCTCCTATTTTCTCATCTTGCAACCCTATCTTTTAGGGGTCGTCATTTTGGCTATCAATCGAATAGCCGAATCGAAATTCGAATGGTTACAACGAATCTGAACTGAATTGAATAAAAGAATAATTGAATTGAAATTTATATAAAAACCGAATGGTTATATGTTTTTTATAATCGAAATAATCAAACTCGAATATAATCGAGTTGAATAAAAACCGAAACATTTTTAGAGATCCAATAAAACATTTTTAGAGATCGAACCATTGCAAATGTAGGAATATGTAGATGTGTATCGAAGAGTAGTTCGCATTGGGTATGTTTTGCAATTATTTCACGCTTATATAAATCATGCGATTTCAATTTTCAACCCAATGAGATGTGAGAGAAGGCCTGAATCTATGCATTTCCTCTTTTGCCCCTCCATTAAACGCACCGTTTCAGTAACAAAGATCAAATGAATCCGACTCCTCTCAGCACAATCAATAATACCATGCATGAACAATTTACAACACTAGCGACTTTCAACACTAGCGTTTCATTGCATGAACTCGTAGAACTCAATCGACATGAAGAAACTCAATCGACATGTTACGTGTGTGTGTGTATATATATACGCACAACATCAGTCCTCCCTCATATTCACATGGCAATGGCGGAGAAAAGCAAAGGCAAAGCATCGGTTTCCGGGGTTGACGAAGATCATGACAGAACCGAACTTAGTTCGGTTTTGGAAAAGCTTAGTCTTGGGTCAGAGAAGACGGCGGTGAAGAAGAAGAAGAAGTTGTTGGTTCTAAGTCTTGGTGGCCTTCTTGTCCATCGAGCCCATGAAGCATCCATGCCGAAATCATTGATGGGTCGTTCACCAGATGCTACCTATGGGTTTCATTATGGTACGCTGTTGTGTTACCCAAATGTTACTGTTACCGCTTTATAGTGCGCAAACCCTAATCTTGGTTTCCCTTTGATGTTTTGTTTCTGTAGTGTACAAGAGACCGTTCTGCGAGGAGTTCATGAGATTCTGTCTTGACAGATTCGAAGTTGGGATCTGGTCCTCTGCTATCGAGTTTGTGCTTCTGCTCTTCTTCCCTCACACTTGTTTGTTGGAATCTTGTTTGCAAATTGCTAACTCGTTATTGGGATCTGGTGGGTGGTTCCTCTTTGTCTTGATCGATTAGGAGAAATGTTGATGCCGTTCTCAACGCTGTTATGAAGGGCTTGAAAGGGAAACTTCTCTTTGTCATGGTTAGGTCATGTTCATTTCTTACTTTCGATTCTCTGTATATGGTCTTGCTCGCTAGAGTTGGCTCTACTACTACTTCACACGCATATATGCAGGATCAAAAAGACTGCATTAATAGTGGGTTCATGTCTTTGGAGAAGAAGACCAAGCCTCTTTTTTTCAAGGATCTGTCCAGAGTGTTTCGGAAGGTCAACAGTAGGGCAGGGAAGCCTGTGTACTCTTGTGTGAACACTCTCATGATTGATGATACACCCTACAAAGCCTTTCTCAACCCTGTAAGTCGTTTTTGTTGGATTCGGCTTTGATTGAAACCTGTAGTTGTATTCTGATGTATTTGTTTGATGAGCTCTGCAGGGTAACTGTGGCATATTCCCTGTTGCCTTTGATCCTGGCAATGATGAAGATGACTTGCTTGGTACGTACCATCTCGTTGTCCTGTCTCTTAATCTCATTTTGTTTGCAGGGAAACTGTATTCTCGTGATGTGTTTTGTTTTGTCAGATCCCGAAGGAGAGTTGTGTTCGTATTTGGATGAACTGGCGGATGCTTCAGATGTTCAGGATTATGTCAGGAATCATCCTTTTGGTCAGCCAGAGATCGGCCCGACTCACCCGCATTGGCGTTTCTACACAAGAGTTGCTGCTGCCGTCAACAAAATCTAGGGGGATACAATCTCGTCATGTCCCTTTCTTTTGTGTTTTGATGTTCTAATTCTGTGTTTGCTCTTACCCGTTGTCGGCTGTGGTTAAGTTTGGTGATTTGGATATCTGCTTTTGTTGTCATGTTCTTTATCTTGTTTCTTTATTTCTGGTTGCGTGGTTTATGTTGTGTCTCTGATGGGTGAATCGTGGATTTCTTCAAAACGCTGAATGGCAAACGCTTATACATACATATATATATATATATATATCGATATACGGGGTGTAGAGAGAGTGAGGCCGACGCCGATACGGTTCACAATTTGGTGCCATTAAGTTTATATGTTAATTGATATAGTTAATTATGATATCTTTCTTCGAATCTTAAACATGTGTTTATCTTTTAAGATATTCGTTATTGATTTCTATTTTTTAGTCATAAGTATTGTCATTCCAGTTATTTTATTAAAGTTTTAATAATGTTCATCTAATAATTTTTTAGTAAAAATAAATAATTTTTTTTGTCTTGAGCATATATATGTATATGTTGACATTTTGTAATGCATTGTTCTTGTAAGAGGTTGTTTCATATGAATTTCTTTTATATATTTATTTATATATAATTCCATATCCAACACTATTGATGGTCCTCGTCTACTTTAGCTTCGACTGTCATTTTATGTGCTAAGTTTAAAATTTAAAGATAATTGTATGGCGAGAAATATCCAGTTGATTATTTTTCAGCACTAGGGTCCTTCAAGTTCATACCTGTTCAGTTAGCCTATTAATTGGGTAATAAATTGCTTAATAAATTTAATTAAGAAACTCGAAATGGAAAGTGGTAGGAGGTTTTGCTATTATTATGTTTTATATATGTTAATGTTTTATGCTAATTCTTTTATTAAATACGATTGATTTCATGGTGAGTCACATAAATTTCATGGGATCATTTATAGTAGGAATGTCAAAATGGATTGGTCCATATTTTTTTTGAGATGGGTTTATTAGAAAATTTGAACCCGAAAAAAAGGTGGAACGAGTCAGCTCTACGAGCCCACAAATTAGTCCATGATATAGGAAAAAAATATTTTTTAAAATTTTATATATGTTTAATATCTATTTATATTAAAATTGTGTTTTAATATATATTTGACTTATTTTGTTTAAAATTTTAAATTTTATAATAATTTTTAGTAAATTTTTTTAGTTATATTTATATATTTACACTCACTCGGGAGTTGATCTTATTTAATTATGATGTTGCAATTATAATTATTTTTTGAACGGATAAAGGTTTTAGTAATATGGTCTTTTCGAAAAGAATTTAATATGTTATGTTTTTTTTGTGGTGTAGGTCGTAAATTACTGCGATCCAAGTCGGGCATTGAGTAAAATGCCCTCGGCCAATAGGTTTAGGCCTATTGCCTGGGCTTTCATACAAAGGTTTCAACTTGACAAGGAATGGGCCTTAGTGGTTTTGCATCCGAAATCCCACCTTATATACCCTCTTTACCGTCCCGAGCTTTTATTCGCAGCAAACAATGGCGGAGAAAAGCAAAGGCGTAGGGTTTTCTGAGGGCGATGCTTCAGACAGTGATCCAGACAGAACCGAACTTAGTTTTGTTTTAGAAAAACTTAGCCTTGGATCCGCGAAGAAGAAGAAGTTGTTGATCCTAAGCCTTGGTGGTGTTCTTGTCCGTAGATTTCATGTAGCAGACAAGTGGAAACTCCCGAAGAATCGTTCGCCTCATGCCACTTACGGATTATATTACGGTACTGCTATATTATATACATACGCACGTGTGTGTATATAGTATACAAGCCCTACTGTCGCTTTCAATTGAATGTTTTGTCCCTATTTGATTATTTGGGGCTTCTTTTACCGATCTTGTCTCTGTAGTGTACAAGAGACCCTTCTGCGAGGAGTTCTTGAGATTCTGTCTTGACAGATTCGAAGTTGGGATCTGGTCCTCTGCTATGGAGTCAGTGATCTTGCTTCTTTGTTGGAATCTTGGTTTGTATATCGTTCTTCATTATGTTAATGTCTTTTGTTTCTGTATGTTGTCTGTTTCTTGATTGATTAGGAGAAATGTGGATGTTGTTCTGAACATTATAATGAAGGGCTTGAAAGGAAAGCTCCTCTTTGTCATGGTATGATGATCATATACCCATTTCACACTTCCACTTCCATTGTATGATCATAATTGCCGAACTGTCTCTAACTCTTTAAAGGGATTCTTTTGCATGCGCATATAGGATCAAAACGATTGCACCGATAGTGGGTTCATGTCTCTAGAGAAGAAGACCAAGCCACTGTTCTTCAAGGATCTATCCAAAGTGTTTCAGAAGGTCAATTCTGAAACCGATGAACCTCCTCAGTTCTCGTATACGAACACTCTACTGATGGACGACAATCCCTACAAAGCTTTTCTCAATCCTGTAAGCTATCATACATATCCTTGCTATTGTTTATATTATAAACGGGTTTGTGTCTTTTGCTCACGTTTTTGGTTTATGAGCTCTGCAGTATAACACTAGTATATTCACGGTGACGTATGATCCTAAAGATGCGGAAGATAACTTGCTCGGTACCAAAACAATAGTCGTGTTTCTATTGATTGTATTTACTCTTTCTGTATATTGATTTTACTTCGTTAAAATGTTGGTAGATCCCAAAGGAGAGTTGTGTTCGTATTTGGATGAACTGGCGGATGCTTCGGATGTTCAGGAATATGTTAAAGAGCATCCTTTTGGTCAGCCTAAGATCGGTCCTTCTCACCCGGATTGGCATTTCTACAAAAAAGTTGCAGCTTTTGTCAAGAAAACTTCTCAGAATCATGGTATTTAAGCAGGTGGATGTAGTTTGATGTTCCCTTCTAATGAACTGGTTGTGTGTCTGTGAATAGAGTTTGGTAACACCAGTGCAAGAGCAAGAACAAGAACTGCAGGTACCTGTATGAACAAGAACCATTGGTGATGAAACTACTATTGTTTGGTGTCAATGAGAGTCCTAGACGATGTTCTTGATGTTCTTTTCAATCCTTTCAAATCCATGTTTTTTTTTTGTTTGGAAGCTTTGATGTTTGAAGGTAAAGGGCTTACGGCAAAGGGGTTGGGCTCGTAAAGAGGTGTGAGGAACAAAGATTTAATCTTTTTGGACAATAACACAACAGCCAGACAGCAACTCATGTACAAATAATATAATATAATAATGAGTTTAATAGGAACAAGAATCAACCCAAGAAAGATGAATCCATAGTGAAAATTGCTCTTGCGGCAGAACACAGTTTCTGTCATGAGGGTTCATAAAGAGACTGAGATTTCCGATAAAGGTGGAAAATGTGAACCCTGAAACACTAAAACTCGATTCTAAAGCTAACTAGGAAACCCGGAAAGAGATTGTTCATAAATATCGGGTCGATAAAAAGAAGAAAAAAACCCGAACTAATCTTACTTCTGAATCTCTCATGTCAACCTATGAGAATGGTTAGAAGCATCTATAAAGCTCAAATCCTACTCGCTCGGAGCTGAAACGTTAATGTCGGGTGAAATCCCGCGGTGTGGATCAGCTTCTGGACCGTTCCACGCCGGGTTGAAAGAAGACGCTTCAGGGATCTGCGTCTGCTGTTGCTGTAATCCAAACGCTGGCTGGTTCTCTGGTTTTGTATCGGAGATTTTGCCTGTGGACGCAGAGACCGCGTTTGATGACGCTGGAGCAACCGCCGTTCTCCGTTCGTACTTCCTCTTTTGGGGTCTCGCACCAAACGTCAAGAAACTTCCAATCACAACCTGTGGACAGATACCAAGTTTTTACAAGTACACATAAATACCCGAAAATCGAATACCCGCATGTAAGGGGTTGGATACGGGTTAGTACTCGAAAAACTTAGGGTATTCGGACCTATACCAAAATATTCAGATATCATAATTTGATATCTGCATTCATAGCTCGGGTATTTGGAATACGGGTATCGGACAAAATGTCATGGGTATTCACATATACCGAGAAAACGGATATCAGATACCCGCAAGTACTCGATTTTCGGGTAATTATATTCACCGCGAGATATCACAATTACCCGAAACATGAGCTTAAAAACGGATTTTTCTTCCTACCCGAAAACTCCCAAAAACATTATATGGTTTTGCAAACTATTGTGATGTTTTCTTGAGATCACAAAGAAAGGGGAAAAAAAAGGCTTACTTGGATGGGGCTAGAGGCGGGGGGGAATCCCCGAAAACTCCCAAAAACATTATATGGTTTTGCAAACTATTGTGATGTTTTCTTGAGATCACAAAGAAAGGGGAAAAAAAAGGCTTACTTGGATGGGGCTAGAGGCGGTGAGAACTCCGGCAACAACACCGCCAATGACACGGCCGTCGGGTCCGGCCAATGAAATGCTCAAACCTCCGGTTTTGTTCCTAACTCCCCCGATTTCGGTTATCACAAACGAACCGGTTAATGTTAGTATCTCGAACCGGCCCTGCAATATAATATTCCCACAACTTCCTTACATAACCAACCAATGAACACAGTTCTTCAAGCAAATCCCCCCAATACATAGCTCGATTTCATTCGATAAGAAACATTCGACGCATATTTCAACCGATCAAACGTTAGTATCTCGAACCGACCCCTGAAAGAATTCAGACAAAAAGCTCTCTTCGGGTTTTTAGAAGTTCGAAATGCACAATTCATCAGGAGACTCTGTAATCGTTTAACTCGATTTCATGAGCTAGAAATCATCGGAAAATCCACAATGATATACCTCGTAAGTGAGGATACCCCCGGCGGATCCAGGCTGCCGAATCGTGACGTTAGAAACTGCTCCGATTGCTGATAAAACGCAGATTCCTCGAGGACCCTTTTGCGTAAACGACAGGATTTTCCCGGCCAAATCCTGAAAACGGCCACAAAAAAGATTTTTGGACACGTTCAATATCTATTTTACATATACGTACATATATACATATATACACACACACACACACGCATGTAAAAGACTTAGAATGAGAACGAACGTCAAGATAAGGTACCTCTCCTGTATTGACAGTGATGATATGTGGTGTGAAGTCTTCTCCTGCTGTTCTTGCAAATACTTCTCCTTCATCAACACCCCATTAAAGAAAAATGAAACGAAATCAGAGTGTCATTATAATCAAATCTGCATCTTTTGTTGTAAAGACTCAAATCAAGAACTTTCGTTGTTTATTACACACACAAACAAAAGTTGAGATTTTCAGACATGCGTGTGTGTATATATATAATATCATTTGTGATGTAATTAGTAAAAGACTCACCAAATGAAGCAAGAAGATTCCAATTGCCGGAGCCAAAGCCTTTGCCTTTGCTCTTCTTTGCCGGCGCCGGCGAGAACGAAAACCCCGCGGCCGTCGCCGGAGCCGACCGTATGATCAAGTTCCCTTCAGAGTCGTACTTCCTCGGCCTCCCTCTCTTCTTCTTCCCCGACAAATCTCCGCCGCCGTTTCTCCCCACCGCCGCCGTCTCCATCACATCGCCACCCGACGCCGCCGCCACGTCCATCGCCGGAGACGCCGTGCTAGGCCCTACCGGTGATGTCATCGAGCCTTGGAATGACGTCACGAGGCCCGAGCCGGTAGTGTTTATGTTAGCTGTGTTGATGCTGAACGGCAGATTCAGCGGAGTCGTCTCCCCCCCCGCCGCCGCCGCGGCGGAATAGCTGGTTACCGGGGACGGCGGGCCCGACCCCGAAGATTCAGCGGAGTCGTCTCCCCCACCGCCGCCGCCGCGGCGGAATAGCTGGTTACCGGAGACGGCGAGCCTGACCCAGAATCCGACACTGACCCAGAAACCGTACTCTCCTTTTCCTCCATTAGAAGAGACCGGGGAGTGAGAGTGACCAATGCAAGGACGAGAGAGAGAGAGAGAGAAGAGAGAGAGAGAGTATTATGAAGTTCCCTCCATTGACAGAAGAAAAATGAAAACAGGAACTGCGATTTTAGTTTCTTAGTCTGGTGTTCCAGAATTTACGTTATTGCCACTGTGTGAAAACCCGTAACTACCCCTCTAAATTTAGAGGTTTTGTCCTTTTGTTCCAATCTTTACAAAATAATATTTTATCATTAATTGTCAAACTGATTCAATTAAACAAATAAATAACCTTTTGGAAAAAAGAATATTATTTTTCACCTAATCATCAGCAATAAATTATTAGTCTATAGTTACCGTTGGTACATATCGGTATCTGATATTATATTTTTAATGTTTACTAGATGGAAACTGATAATAAATACGTTATTTTGGAAACAAAAATATATAATATCTTCATATTAGTAGGAAATATATCATGGTCGATATATCTACTTTTTGTTTTAAAAACTTATTATTGTAATTAAGATTTGTATTACTTTAACTATAAAATTATTTCACATAGTACAATACGCTATAAGATTAAAATATAGAGAAACCTATTCCTTAAAAAGATAAAAGAAGGATACTAAAAAAATATAATATTTTCTCTCTATGTTTTAACTAAAGGTCCACTAGCAAACAGTCAAGGAGAATATACATATATATATATATATACATATACATATATCGGAGGATATTTTTGTAAATTCGGTGGATAAAAAATTTACCCAAGTTAAATATATTGAGGAGCCCAACAAACTCTGGTTAGGAATTAAAAAGGGTCAAACCGGTGCTGTGCTGTTAAAGCCATAAAATATTTCTATCTTTGTCGATAAATACTATTTTTAATCCCAAAAAAGTAAATAATTTTTATATTACTTTATTTTCTCCTTTCAACTTTATTTGGAATTTATTTTACTACCATATAATTTTATATTCCAATTGCTATAATTGCACGTCACCTTTTATATAAATATTTTCGTTTCCCTTAATCTATGCCAACATCAATTATCGATGTTGGTTTTGGGTAGGTGGGTTTGGTTTAATCTATACCGGTCGATCATCACGAATTTATTAATTTCGAGTTCGAGTCATTTTTTAAAGTAATTGAAAAAAAAAATCAAATATAATCCGATTTATCTAGCTTTGAATCAAATAAATCGATTTGTAATTTCAAAACAAATACGTTATAAAAAAAATTTCTATATTAAAAAAATATTTGGAGATAAAAAATTATATTTCAATTTAGATATAATATAATATTAACAATTAATATCCTAGTCTAATAAGTAAATTACAAAATGACAAGTATCCACGGATTTAAAACTTTCCTCACATAAATAAATAAATAAAAATATACATATATATATATATATCCTTTTTCTTTTAAAAAGTTAGAAATTAGATTTATATTAATTAGGGTTTCTAACTCGTCATTTCATTCGTGGTTCCTAACTTCATATGAATTGATTTATGATTTAATCTGTGGTTTTGTTACGAGTTGGTTAATTAGATTTTTTTACATTAACCGAAAAAACTCTAAATAAATTCATTAAAAAAAATCGAACTAATTAATGGTGGCACGTATCGAATACCATAAAACAAAATTGGAATATTCGGATTTATATCGATAAATTTGGATATCTTATTTTAATATTTGGATTTGAATATCAGGAAAGTATGAGTATCTATACCCAAATTTATTTAATAAAAAAACAACAATGCTTACGTATAATTATGTTAAAAATAAATAAATCTATAACTTTATAGAAAGATAAACCGATGTGGAAAAGCACAAGAGAGAATTGGTAAAATATATATATATATATATACGTACATATATACATATATACACACACACACTCATAACCGCATCAGGTCTCCACGGTGAACCGCCTCTGGTCGATGG